ATTTCCCTGAAGAGCAGGACTTGTTAAGAATGGAGAACTCTGGATACATTTCAGAATGGCTACTCGCCCCCATCCCCTTCTACCAGAAACACAGGACATTTTTCTCATATCTTCACTCTGAGAATCTGTTTGGCCTCCTGGAGGTAAAACTTATCAAAGTGTGGGCCCCCTCCTTGAGAGTTTTTCTCTTTTTCCACACTGAGTTCTCCATCAATTCAATCACAGTGTAGGTTTTCCTATCCTGTTACTGGCTCCTGCAGCAGTTTCTACTCCTGAATGTCTACTCCAGTAAGCTGTGATTCTCTGTATCCACCTGTGTCTACCATTTTTGGAGCACTGGTTTGCCCTATGACCATGGTAATATGCAAGGGTTCTCTGACTGGTTTTTTCTTTTTCCCTATTAAATTAGGGTTAACCTTACCTAAAAAAGGATTTCCCAAACTGTTTGTCAAGGTGTTAGTGTTTTTGTAGAAAGAAGAGAGAAGAAGAGAGACAGAAGTGAGGACAATATTCTTAAATATGTGAAAAACAATTATTTACATTGTCTTCAAAATCTATCTTTCGGAAAGTTGCTGCATCTGTGAATTCGAGAAGCCAGCATGAACGGCACACACAGTATGAGTGCATTACATCTGACTAGAGCACCTTGCACAGGCAGCACTGCCCAACGCTCTCCTTCACATGCCATCTAGTCAGTGACATGTTACAGGTCTGTTCTCGTATTTTCATATTATGCCTATCTTTTTTGTCCTTAATAAAAGAGTTTATTAACTTGTCTTGTTATAAGGGTAAAACTATTAGCCAAATGATCATTCTTCAACAAATAATTTATCTGAGAGAATATTCTTGGTGTCATATTTTAATCCATATATCCACTATATCTTATAAACTCTGATGTACCCTTTAAATGTGACATTTGGGGAATGCTGTGCTAGAAGATTATCAAATAATTTGACCTCTGTGAAGGATGAATAACTATCAATGATAAAAGAAATACAGCAGATTTTCTAAAATGTTTTTATTTTCAAAACCTATAGATCCAATTTAATAGAAAATATTGCCATGAAACATCTAATTACACATCAACAGAAATAAATCCCTCAAAATACAGTTAATGGGAGGTTACCCAACATAATTCACAATCTTAAAGTTGGAATACATATGCTTTTTTCAAATAAACAGATTTTGTTTCAGACGATTTTCCTCTTAAACATCCAAGATACACATCTTTTGAACTGAAACCAGACAATCTCTCAATAATTTTGTAAATAAGTGTTTCCATTAACTTGGAAAATAAAATAACCCCCAACTATTCAATTACTGAAATACTCACAAAACACTAAAAAAGCCAAATCAATAATTGCTTTAAAATGTCTACCTCTTGAAAATGAAATCTACATCTGAGTTGTGAAGAGAAATAAGCTCCTTATTTTAAAAGTTGAGTCTTCCTGACGGACTAATTTGCTGTCTATCAAATTTATCTTTCTCAGACCGTTTTCATGATATTAATATATCTTAAACCTTAAAATGTGAGGTGTTAAAACACGAACAGCTTCTTTGGCCCTTTAGATAAGAGGTACCTTAAATGTAAAAACTGCCTTCTAGATTGGACACATATTGAGTTGGGAGATGTATATGCCTGTTTCTTAACAACATGGTCATTTCCTTTTTAATAGTAAGTTTTTTGATGTATTGAGATTTGTTTTAAAATGTTTTGAAAATAAAAATTCATGTATACTCCTATATAAGAAATAATTTTCAAAAGATCAGAGAAAAGCATTATATGTTATATCATAGATTTTATTGATGATAAATGTCTTCATTTATTTGTAAAAGCTTAGCTCTTACTAAGCATTTTTTAACAAAAGCCAATAAGCAAGAATCATATGCCATACAGAAACTATATTCACAAACAAGACTTTAAGCTTAACCAACACTGGAAGCTAAAAAAATGGAAAAAAATACAAAGCAAAACTGTAGCGAGTCAATTAAACTGTTTTCTAACCTTGAATATGCTGCATTTAAAATGACACAAGCATTCTGAACTCAACAAAAACCAATTTTATGGATTTAGTCTATAAGACTAGCATTAAGAATGACATGCAATTTGTGATTTCCTTTTAAAAAATTTTTAAACTGAATCATTTGAACAAAGGGTCTTTATTTCCTCATTTGAGGGGAAGACAATCTGTTTTCCAAACAGATCCTCCTTTCGTATTAAAATAGCAAACTGTGTGAACTCGCTCTCTTCTCCCCAGATGCTACTTACAGATGACTTTGCATAATGACTTAACAAGAACTACTTTTCTGGTAACAGTGTCATTCATGGCCACAAATAATCTGTTTTTAGAAAACAAACACCAAGTGCAAATCTAAAAAATTTCCTTTAAAGAATTACCCAAACCCAGCACACATGCAGTGTTGCTGTGACACAAGCTAAGGAGTATGACTTTAAAACGTGTATATAATGGTACACGTGCACTAAAGACCCTCTTCTATAAAGTTTTAATAGTGTTGCCAAGTAAATAATTCTTTCAAGGCACTGAAGAATTATGTAGATGGAGTTTCCAAAATATAATTAACAATTGCTTATAACTGTTAAAAAGCCCTGAGTCAGAACTTTCAATACCTTCCTGAAATTATATTTCTCAGACAAAATGGCACGTTTGTTTATTTTATAAAAAATTACAAGACCATTTTGCTTTTTTGGAGGAAAGAAGTCAAGTTTATGAAACAAAATCAAGTAGATTATACAGGAAAAGTAAAGTAAAATATTCAGCAATATTATCTTTCTTAGACATTTTGTACATGTCAGTTATAACTTGTAGTTACGAATTTAGGCACCAAATTAATGTGACAAGTCACTTCTCCTGCACCTACTGCAAATTCTCAACAAAACAAAAATCTCAATTATAACCTCAGGTTCCCCTTTCCTCTATTATTCACAAACAAGAATAAACGCTGGAAAAAGTAATACTCTGACAGAAAAGGAGGTAGAAAATGCCAATGTAGCAACTTACACTTTTAATCCATAAGCTCCATTATCTAGTTCATATTTTTATACTGTAGTTTCACACACGACTAACCCTTTATCAGTAAACTGAAGCTCAATCTAAAGGCTGTTCCCCTCACTGTAGTAAAGCAATGTACACATGAGACAGCATAAGAGTGTCCTCCAATTTAATGTTTTAAAGAAGTACAACTATAATTATTAATACTGCTATAGATATATATATGTTAAAGTTCCAAGGCTATATAGGATTATCAAGTAATATCAGTAAGCATTCCTATCATGATATTCAAGCAAGTGAAATTACGTTGCCTTTTTGAGAGATAAACATATTTGAAACTTTTACAAGGAGACGTAAAGACAATTGACATTTTCAACAAGGCACACATATAAGTTGTGAAAATCTATTACCTTGCCAATTTAGTACAAATCCAAAGCTAATCTTATTCTGATATTTAAAATGTCTCTCCCCTCTGACTCAAAATGAAATAATCCTTCCAATTCATAGCATTTGAAACTTCCTCAATTATGACTGCTGACAGTGGGAAAGGGAGGAGAAATGTCCCCTCCTCACATTCCAGGGACTTGATGCCAAAGCGACTTTACCTCTTGTAAACATACACTACTAAATAATTCAGGTGTTTCTCAATTTATACGGACTCAAAGTTCTATTCCACCAAAGGGAGGAAGAAGAGTTGTTCATGGGTATGGTGTTTCAGTTTTGCAAGATGAAAAAGTTCTGGAGAGTTGCTTCACAACAATATGAATGTACTTAACACTACTAAACTGTACACTTAAAAACAGTTGATATGGTAAATTCTATGTTATGCATTTTTTCCCATAATAAAAAAATGCAAAAAATCCTACCCCCAAATTTAATTTTTCACACAAATTATTTCTATAAAGCATATTGGACACTCTGAGAAGAAAAGTGCTTTTTCTTTTAGATTAAAAAAAAGCAAACTGTATCAAAGCCTATAATTTACAAAGCAATAGTCAATTAAACTTCACTAAGAATGAATTGGTTGAAAGACCCTTTTTATTATTCAATTAAAGATACTCTCCACTAATGCTTTGATGAAATCTTATGATCCTCTTTTTTTCCCTACACTCAAACACTAACACTCTTTCCACCCGTTGTAACCCCACTGTCCTGACTCTACCCTACCCCATCCCTAATTCTCTTAGTTCATATATTTAACTAATTCCTATTCCAAAAAGGGTCCAGAATTCAGAACAAAGATCAGCAATTGGGCAACATGTAACTAGATAGTATGTTTCTACCATGAAAAAACGAACCAGCAAGCTTTGAAATTCGAACTGGACAAATCTTAAGCAGCATGCATTTCAATATGCTAAAATGCTCTTAACAGGCTAAAACTACCAAAAATATAAATTTAAGAAAGTTACCTCCCACATTATCTATTAATTAATTTTATGCCTCAGTAGCAAGCTGGTCAATTTGCAATGTTTAAAGTTACAAATATCTTACTCAAGCATAATTTGGCCAGCTAAACATTTGTCTAATATAATATTCCTACACTAATACAAAACTATCTTCTCTTGAAAACCTTCTTGCTCCCAACAAAATTAAATATATATATAGTATAAGCAGTTAGAATGTTAAATTATGTGAACAAAAACCATTAGAGTAGCACCATCTGGTAAGTTGTGTGTGTGTTTTGAGTAACAAAGCTAACGATCTTAGAAGAATAAAGGAGAAAATGTGGTAGGGTGAGGCAGTATAGAGAGGAAATCCAAACGCTTCTCAATGACAACCCTTCTGAAACGTTAGGAAATGTCATCAGTACCTCTGGATCCCTTCCTTGTGGCTACAAATTCCTTTACGTACACAACGGCTGCATAATATATTGGGTGTGTTAAGATGTTGACTGCTTATTTCAATGTTGTGTATCTAGCCCCTGAAGCCCAATAAATATTTTTTTGAATGAATGTATGTCAGGGTTTTTTTGTTTGTTTTGGTTTTGTTATGATTCTAGGAAAAGTAAAAGCTCTTTTGAGGCACAGGATAAAGAGGTTTAGAAAATGAGGAGAAAACACACCTAACTGGAAAAGTACTGCTAAGTGACATATAATAAGAGGTAGCAGATTCAGAGTTGGAGGAAAGTCACGTAAATGATTAAGTTCTTGATTTTATTCTCTCACACAAACTCAAAATAAATTAAAAATAATTTTCAGATGCTTGAAAACATGAATAGATAACTATTTTTCTATTCATGAAACAAATTTCAAAGTGATACAAATAAAGAAAATCCACAAGTACTTAGCACTAAAATTATAGTGTCTTTATGATTTCTGTAATAGAAGACTATAAGTTATATTTTGATTATGAAGAAAATAACTAAACTAGTCTGGAAGATGACATTACCTTTTAGGGATACAAGTTTTAGCTTTGCAGCTCAGAAAACAAGAAGGATCTGTTTAAGTAGAGCCAGAGCCCACACAAATTCTCTGACTGGCCAAGCTCTGCATGAGGCAGCCAGGTGCTCCCTCCTCACCAGGAGATCTGGTGGAGAAGAGATGGGTGGCCTACAACACAGAAGAAAGGAAAAACCTGACTATGCTGTTTTCAAACCTGCAAGAAGATAGTCTGTTTGTCTCTTTATGTGAACATCATCAGTCAGATGTACTACCTTTTTATAACTTCAAAATAGTTTTAAAAATAGCCTCAGTGGCCCCTTATTAGATAACAGAGTAGAGTCCACATAAATTTTCATATCTAAAATTTGTAAAAATTTTACTATTCTAAGTGTTAAATAACAGCTACCCAACTAAACAGATACGGAATTGTCGAGACTACAAAACCAGCCAGCAATGCTTCCCATTGCTTTTGCTAGGACTTGCAAAGGCAGCAGCAAGTAGGTGGTCAGAAACAGCGTTATGAGGGCTAGAGACTTTGTACTTTCAAATTTGGTTGAAAAACTGAAATAAGAAAAACTAGCCACATTCAAAGGAGGAAGAACTACAAAAGATAGCTATTCTTAGAAGTAAGCTTATATACAGTATATAGTAGACAGCATTGTAAACAGCTGATATAATAATCTAACAGCAATGAACCCCCAAACACTTATTTATATGTATATGTACCCTGGAGGCAATACATAAAATGATTAGATGCTCTAGAGTTGAAGTCTGTGTCAAAAAAAAAAAAAAATCATCTATGGGTAATCGGACATATTTCTGTAAATGTCCTCGTCACTCTTTCTAAAGTTTGTATTATTAGGTTATTTACTATGTCTTGGATATTGTTGGCAGTTTAAATAATATTTTCATTTGTTGTATAAAGAGAGACTGCTTCCTTTATAGTAAGACTTACTATCTAAGAGAGTGTGGAAGTAAGGCTTACAATGAAGGTAAAATCAGTAACACTGTCAGAATTAACTGATACAAAGAAGAAAAGATTGCTGCTTTGGACCTCACGCTATCCTTTGCAGATCACCAGGTACTATTCAATACATTCGCAAAGCTAAACAGAACCTCAGAGGTCCAACAGGGCAATGTCATTTCACTGGTAAGATCAAGCCAGGGTAGGAAATCACAGGGAAAACTAAAGCATATTTCCACAGATATTTTAAAACACTGGCTGGACAAAACAGTATATAAGTTAATCTAAGAAAGGCAACTGTGCATGGTCAGTTAACAGGTACTCTTGTATTCGTTTTGTTCCCTCTTCAGCTGCCCATTATTATTGCTTTTTTGTTTTGATGTCTGTCAGTCATTTTGAAACTGTTATTAGATTCAAGTTAGAGTTCCTTTTGAATTTAAAAAATAAGCTAAATACAGTCATTATTCTCTCATCCTATACTTCCATTTACTCAAAGAATTCAGAAACACACATTTGGATAACTGAATAACTTTCTGTTATCTTAAAGAGAATCTTCCCTTCAATATTTCCTTAACTATGGAACTTGTACTGTAATTTTATCATTTAACATATGTGACGTAAGGGTTGACTTGCTCCTTCCATTTGGTGCATGACTCTTCAGAGAACCTGTGTCAATGCACTGTGAAAAACCATAATGAAATAAAGGATAACTGATCATAAAGTGTGTCTTTTGAAGTCTAACAAATTTATAAATTATAAAATGCAATAAAAACAAAAAAGGAAATCCTTAAAGGATCTTCCCCTTAGAAGCCAGAAAGTAATCATCTATGAATTACAAGGATATATTTTAAATTAAAAAAAAAAAAAGACAAAAACTTGATTTAAAACACTGTTTTGTAGAGTTTTTGTTCTGGTACACTTACAGACTAATTACACTCCAGTAAAGAAACTATGATAGCAGAAATTAATTCATTAGAACTTCCAACTAGCTCAAAGCTTACTCAGGTCTCATGACCAGACACTTCAGCTAACAAAGCACACTGTGTTTCTTAGTTAATACAAAAGAATCCTTCGTTCAATAGCCTTGCGACAAATAGGACATTCACTCATGCGGTCTCCACAGAGTTGGCACGTTCCATGACCACAGAGGAAAATCATATTCTTCAGACGATCCAAACATACTGGGCACATTGTCTGTAATATGAGATAACAAAGTAATAAATGTTGAACTGTTTTACATTTTGAAAGTGACATAATATGTGACAATTGTTATATCATTAACTTTATTTTGTTGTTTTAGTCAAATAATACTGTTATTTTTTAAAATATATATATCTTAAATTTAAATAGTTAAAATGTCATCCTTATAAAATGGAAATATTGGTTGTACTATCAGGATAGCACTGTAAAAAAAGGTACTATGAGATATAAAAAAATTTAAAACAAAAGATGCAAACATCATAGCATAATAGGAAATGGATGGAAATCGCCCCATTCTGTCTGACTGAGATGCCCCAGTTCAAGGTACTGGACAGCTCGCATGTGAAGAACACGCTGTGCCAGGCGTGCTGGAGTGTGGAGCAGTGCAGAGATGTAGCTTAAACACCTGCCAGGCACCATGCTAGCTGAATACGATGCCATCTCAGGCCTGTCATCATTCCCACTTAGAAAATGAGGAAACTGAGGCTCAGGGGATTTAAAACCTTTCTCCAGGCCAGCTAGAGTGTGAACTCGGGTCACAGAGCCCCCAGAGCTTTTGCTCTTGAACACTGTGCTGCATTGCAATATCATCAACGTGGATCCCCTGAGTTAAAACCAATTAGCCTTGGTTACATATTAAGAAATTTAAGTTGCATGAACTCAGAAGAATTTAGAAGTACTTTAGGTATATGTCTGTGAAAACATTTTAGGAAATCATATTTATTCACAAAAAATATTTTATATATTTTTTTGTTTTGTTTTAAATCAGGGTCTCACTCCATCACCCATGCTAGAGCGCAATAGCGTGATCACAGCTCACTGCAGCCTCAACCTCCTGGGCTCAGGCAATCCTTCCATCTCAGCCTCCCAAGTAGGTGCATGCCACCATGCCCAGTTAATTTTTAATTTTTTGTAGAGACAAAGTCTTACTATGTTGCCCAAACTGGTCTCGAACTCCTGGGCTCAAGCGGTCCTCTCACTTTGGCCTCTGAAAGTACTGGGATTATAGGCATGAGCTACTGTGCCCAGCCTATATTTGTGTATTTATAAAGTTATATTTTACCTTAATATATTATAATACTTCATTTTGAATTCATTTTTCCCAAACAACACGGAAATAAAATAATTAAACAGAAATGTCTAGATTAATAAACTAGGCCTAAAACCTATAGCGACCAACTTTGACAATGCCAGAGATCATTGTTAAAAAAGAAAAAAGGCTGGGTACAGTGCCTCATACCTCTAATACCAGCACTTTGGGAGGCGGAGGCAAGAGGATTGTCCGAGTCCAGGGGTTCAAGACCAGCCTGGGCAACTTGACAAGACCTCGTCTACAATAAATAAAAAACGTTAGCTGGCTGTGGTGGTAAACACCTTAGTTCCAATTACTCGGAAGGCTGAGCTGGAAGAAACACCTGAGCAAGACAAGGCTGCAGTGGCTGTAAGTGTACCAGAACACTCTAGCCTGGGCAACAGAGTGAGATTCCAACTCAAAAAAAAGAAAAGGGCCAGGCTCGGTGGCTCAGCCTGTAATCCTGCGCCTTGGGAGGCTGAGGTGAGTGGATTGCCAGAGCCCACGGGTTCGAGACCTGCCTGGGCAACTTGGCGAGACCTCATCTCTACAGTAAATCAAAATGAGCTGGGCGTGGTAGCGCCTGCCTGTAGTTCCAGCTACTTGGAAGGCTGAGGCGGAAGGATCGCCGGAGCCCAGCAGGTTGAGCCTGCGGTGGCCAGGAGCAGCCACTGCACTTCAGTCTGGGAAACGGAGTGAGACTCCAACTCAAAAAAAAAAAGAAAACAAAAGGAATTGTAGTCTACATTGCTAACCCCATTCCTCCAAAGCAAACTGTCATATTTCTGTGTCACAGTTTTGAGAAGGAAAGCTGTAGAAAATCACATATTTTTGAATGTTAAAAAGCCAAATTAGCCTTTTAGTATCACTAATAGTTTCATTTCCATTAAATTTTCAAGAGGTCTGTATAATTAACAACTCTATTTCCAAAAGCAAACATATCTGTGCAGTCTGTGTAAAGTTACTTTGAAATTAATATATCCCTAACAGCAAGTGAAATTAATTTTTGTCTGTTAAAGAGATTCTGGGGGATAGATTGGAGATTTGAATGAAGAGACGTATTCAGATAGTTTCTCTGGTTTTCTTGATAACTTTGGTGGCAGTCCCAATAAAAAATCCATCATTCCTCAGAAAATGGGTTTTGTTACAAATTTTTAAATACGTTAGTGATAAAATATGGTGATAAAGATTATTCAAAGAATAAAAAACTTCGCAATGCTAAACTGGGGATATAGGCAGAACTAAATTATTCTTTTAGAATCCATAAGAGGGTTAAATAAATATCGTTATTCATTATAAGAACAATTTTAATTCACAATTAGAAGATAAAATGCTTTTCACAGAAGTGTTAAAATATCACCTTAACTTTCTGTAAGCTTCTTATGGAAAAGGAACCAAGATGCTAGGGGCTTCAAAATTTTAAAAATGCTTTCTTTTATATTATAATGAGCCAAATATGAACCCACTACATTAATAACCTTTAAATTCATATTTATCTGTACTTATTCATTTCATAACAAGTATTGCTAGGTACTAGAAAAACTAGCTCAATCAGAGTATTCATTTTTTCAGATGGATGCTTAAATGCCTAATAAATACATATATTCCATTTTTATTTATTTACATACATTCCATTTATTTACTTACTTTTTTTAGAGATAGCGGTCTCATTCTCACCAGGCTAGAGTACAGAGGCACCATTATAGCTCACTGCAACCCTGGAGTCCTGGACTCAAGGGATCCTTCTGGCTCAGCCTCCAAGCAGCTGGGACTACATGCATATGCCACCACGCGGGGGTAATTTTTTTTTTTTAAGAGCTAGAATCTTGCCATGTTGCCCAGGCTGGTCTTGAACTCCTGATCTCAAGCAATTCCTCTGCCTCAGCCTCCTGAGTAGCTGAGATTACAGGCATGATCCACCGTAACCAGTCAATTTTAATCAGTTATCACAAGGGTCATTAGTTATCCTGGGTCACTATCAATTAACTGTACAGTATTATTTAGTCTTAAATTAAGATAGAAAACACAGGAGTGATGACTCTAACAATTGCATGGTAATACTGATGTGATTGCCAAACTAAAGAAACAACACCATTGCTGCTCAAGCCTTTCATTAGATTTAGTCACTGGGTCAAATAGTGAGTGTTATCCTTTTCCTTTCGTAACACTGGGCTATTCCCATTTGCTATAATAAAGATTAAAAAATGTTTCAGTTATTACTTTTTTGGGCCCCCCCCAAGACCTGATTTTTATTTAACATATACCTACAAGTTTTAGCTAATTTCTTTATCTAGTTGCTTTTATTAAATACTGAGTAAATATAAAGGAATAATTTTGTTGATACATATATGATGCCAAGAACAAGATAACAGCACTCAGTTTAAAGGAGGGACTGCTACTCTCATTTTGAAGCCCCCCATAGGTCCTCCCCAGGCCCTGCATCTGCCCTTCACTGATGACTCGGACTGTGAACTGTGCATTAAATTTCCCTTGTTTTCATTTCCTTTCTATTAAAGTTATCACATGGAAGTAAAAATGTGCATGAATCATATGTGTACAGTTTAATAATTCATAAAAAACTCATGTAACTGTATTCAGATCAAGAAATGGAGCATCAGGACTCTAGAAATGTCCCTTGTGCCCCTTCCCAGTCCCATCCTCAGTCAAAAAACCATTACCCTTGACTTTTAACAATCTGTATGGGTTTTTTTCCAAATTTGTATTCTCCAAAATATCCTGTTTAGTTTTATTAGATAATAACACTTGATACTAACAGTCCCTTAACATTTTCCTCACTCTAATAGGTATGAAAAGGAACTTCATTATAATTTAAGTTTTTATTTCCTGATCACTAATGTGGTTGAGCACTTTTTTTATGCTTATCAGTTATTTATGCATTACCTGTTTTGGAAACATCTGGTTAAACCTTCTAATCGGATATTTCTCACTGTAAATATGCAAATAATACAAAAAATATTCTAATATAAACTAAGCTTACTACAGAAAACACTAGTAGTTTTACAGAAAAATATCCAGTGTCATTCTTAGAGTCACTGTGTAACACGAAATCTCTCTTTTACCTGCTCTTTAATGTCCTGTAACTGTTGCTGCAACTTTTGCACATCTGCATTGACATTGGTATTATCCTTGTCCTTTTGTAATACTGGAATATTCCCACTTGCTATAATATAGATAAAAAATGTTTCAGTTATTACTGCCTTGACATAATGACTTTTTATTTCTAAAGTCATTACTGTTTTATTAAAAACACAAAATTTTAAAATTTTAGAATCTTCTTACAAATTTTTTTCACACTTGGACAACAGATACCGTGGTGACATTTGTTACACTCTTTCATTTATAATCTTCAAAAAGAAACTGGTTTGCACATTTATTTCTAACTATATTTTAACTCAGGCAGAGCACATCCACACACAGACTTGAGTTTTCTAAGGCTCTACTTGCTTCTTTTGGCAAGTTCACAAATTCATTTTATGCTTGTCTTCTCTGCTATAGTACTGTATGACTCAAGAGGTAGCCAGCAGGCTTTTGGCCAGTTTCGGCAACAATAATAAGTTTCACAAATGATTTTTGTGAGGATACAGAACAATCTAGCCTCCTTCCTTTATGATTAAATGTCCTTGTTACTGATCTGAGATGGGGAACTCAAGAAAGTCATCAGTGTCTGCAAACACAGAGGGCAATCTTTGATTTCATTTTTCCTACTTTCTAGATTCTAGGTCTTTTTTTTTTTTTTTTTTTTTTTTTGAGTTAGAGTCTCACTCTGTCACCCAGACTGGAGTGTAGTGGCCGCTCCTGGCCACCGTAGCCTCGACCTGCTGGGCTCCGGCGATCCTTCCGCTTCAGCTTTTTTTCTCGCCAAGTTGCCCAGGCGGGTCTCGAACCTGTGGGCTCAAGCAATCCACTCACCTCAGCCTCCCAAGGCGTGGGATTACAGGCTGAGCCACCGAGCCCGGCTGATTCTAGGTCTTTTATTTTGGTTCACCTGTGCCTGGGATTTTATTTTGCTCGATTTGTGATAAAGACAAAAGTCTTGGGCAGAAGTTGTAACACTAACACTCTTCCTCATATGTTCATAAAACATGTTCACAGAAAAATAAATCAAAGAAACTATTCAGCTAATATTTAATATAGAGACAAAATTTTTTTTTTTTTTTTGAGTTGGCGTCTCACTCGGTCGCCCAGACTGGAGTGCAGTGGCCGCTCCCAGCCACCACAGCCTCGAACTGCTGGGCTCCGGTGATCCTTCCGCCTCAGCCTTCCAAGTAGCCGGAATTACAGGCATGCGCTACCATGCCCGGCTGATTTTTTGATTTATTGTAGAGATGAGGTCTCGCTGCCCAGGCGGGTCTCAAACCCGTGGGCTCAGGCAATCCACTCACCTCAGCCTTCCAAAGGCGCGGGATTACAGGCTGAGCCACTGAGCCCGGGTGACAAAAAATATTTTTAAGCAGCTGTACTATTGAAAAGATTGAAGTAAATCAATTATTTTTCACCTTTCTGCCTGTCACTGGATTATACTTCTGTTTACCTACAGCTACTCTGTCCCAAATAATTATTCTTTCATAAAATACTTAAAGTAGATAAGGCTACTATATAAAGGAAGGAGGTTCATACTTTTGGTAAACTGAAAAGTAACTTTTAATTTGATATCCCTCCTAAAAATACAGTATATTCTATCTTAAGAAAAGAAAGCAAATTTCTTTATGCAAGAACGCAATGTTCTTTATACCATTCACGGAAGTTTCTCAGAAGATCATATTTAAAGTTCTATCATCACACCACAAACTGGAAAAACATAATTTTAGGTTTGTAATGTAATATAATGTAACAAGAGCACCAGCAATCCACACCTCATCCTCTGTGGATCCAAGTCAGGTATCTTAGGTTTTATAAGGCAACAGTTATTACAAAAGAGAAGACATTCATGCAGGTCCCAACAAGAAAGCAAAATAAGAAAATGCTTAAGAAAATTCACTTACAGATGTCATCAGTGGCATCTTCCGAACTCTTTCCTCCACAGCACATAATGAAAGGCACTCTTCGTTCAACTACTGCCCGACACTGCACGCACTTTTTCATCAGGCTAGCACAGTCTGGAAAATAGTAACACAGACACTTCTTACAAGAGAGGACATGAATAAAAGTATTGCCTTTCTTAGCTAACTTTTATGACTTAAACTTCACACTATAATAAACTTTAAACAAGTCACTGTGATACATAGTGAGTATTCTCCAATGGTAGCCTCTAGAACAGAGTCCATCATTATGAAAACAACGACATTTTCTAATACACAGCTGTGTATTAGAATACACCAAATATTAGAATACACAGAATATTAGAATAATATTAGAATATTAAAATAAACTGTGGAAATTTTTTGTTTGTTTTTGTTCTTAAGTAACACAAAGGCCAGACACAGTGGTTCGCACTTATAATCTCAGCACTTTGGGAGACCAGGGTGGGAGGACTGCTTTGAGCGAGCCCAGGAGTTTGAGACCAGTCTGGGCAGCATAGTGAGATCCTGTCTCTATTTTTTAAAAAATAAAAATAAAAAAAATAAAAGTAACACAATATCCATTTGAAGGCCTTAAGGCTTGACTATAAAGGAGGAAGGCATTGTTAACAAATATCAACTAATACTTGAATTATAATGTTGCTTAAATGATAATTTTCTAAAAATATTTTCTATTGTTAATGATTTATCTCTAACATGTCTAAAGTATGTTGAACAATCCTTCTTCTCTTATCAAATTGATGCAACATAACAAGGAAACTATTTAGTGATTACTTTTGAAATGCAGCAGTTCAGAAAAAGAATTAAAAATTTTCCTAATAGACTATTTTTATGATATTTAATTTGAAAAGTCTATAAGCAACATTTCAATAGAATGCTTTCCCATTCCAAGAAGAAATATCTAGATTGTTCATACTACTTTACATCTAAACTTGTTAATTAATTATAAAATAGCATAGCAATTCAACATATTCTTTCTCATTAACATTTACTATGAAAGTTTACTACACATTTTAGCCTACATACCAAGTGTCATTCACTTTGTTGTTCATTTCAAAAATGGGAAAAATAATGAAAAGCGTGGCAGGATATCCAGGGATAACTTACGACAAAACTCTAAACTTTAACAAAGCATAAAACCAGGGGTGTGGACAGGGTGGGGCACACACTCCTAACAGTTTACTTTGCTGCTGAACAGAGAACAGTCATCAAGTCAACCTCATGCCAGAGCCTAACCATAGTGGGTCTGATGGTTGGTTGCACAAGATCCACTAGGTAGGAACTAGTGCTGATAGAAATTGGTTTTGGAATTTGTCTTCCATTTGATGGCAGATTTTTTTTTTCTTAAGTGTAAAAGATCAATTGCCTAGCCGGGCTCAGTGGCTCAGCCTGTAATCCCGCGCCTTTGGGAGGCTGAGGTGAGTGGATTGTCTGAACCCGCGGGTTCAAGACCCGCCTGGGCAGCGAGACCTCATCTCTACAATAAATCAAAAAATCAGCCGGGCGTGGTAGTGCATGCCTGTAATTCCGGCTACTCGGAAGGCTGAGGCGGAAGGATCGCTGGAACCCAGCAGGCGAGGCTGCGGTGGCCGGGAGCGGCCACTGCACTCCAGTCTGGGTGACCGAGTGAGACTCCAACTCAAAAAAAAAAAAAAAAAAGATCAATTGCCTAAATACATTATATGTAACTACAATTATCCAAAATTATTATAATGCCAAGTTCGATTATTACATTATTTCTATAACACATTTCTTCAGCCCCTCCATAAGGTATATACTCTCTCCCTCCTTTGACCTGCAAGGCACCTTAAACTCTTTAAGGCTCCAACACTCCGCTTAACTTTATTGTGATGTGGGTACTGAATTAACTACTTTACTGTATACTCCTTGGGAAAGGAATATTTTCCACCTTAATTTTATCTTCCTTGGCAATCACATACTTAAGAGTCTGTAAAATGAAGAAATGATCTACTTCTTAGGGTTATTCTAAAGATAAATGATGGATAAATGAGGAAAAACTCAAAAAGATATTAAAATGCCCCAATAAAAGTGCCTTTTTTTCTTTTTTTAAAGAGATGAGGTCTTACTATGTTGTCCAGGCTGGTCTTGAACATCTGGTCTCAAGCAATCCTCCCCTCGGGTCTTCCAAAGTGCTGGGATTACAGGCATGAGCCACCACGCCCAGCCCCTTGTTACATTTTGTTTTTTGAGTTGGAGTCTCACTCTGTCGCCCAGGCCAGAGCGCAGTGGCACGCTCACGGTCACCACAGCCTCTACCTGCTGGGCTTAGGTGATCCTTCCACCTCAGCCTTCCAAGTAGCTGGAACTACAGGCGCGTGCTATCATGCCCAGCTTATTTTTTGATTTACTGTAGAGACGAGGTCTCACCAAGTCACCCAGGCAAGTCTTGAACCCCCGGGCTCAGGCAATCTTCTTGCCTAGGTCCCTCCCAAAGTGCTGGGATTATAGGCTGAGCCACCACACCTGGCCATCTTGTTGCATTTTAAAGCAAAGACCCTTTGCCATCTTCCAGGGCTGCTGTCTAGAGGTATTCAGCATGGTCCAGCATTTGACATTATCATCACAGGCTTTCCTACAACACAGCCACTAACAAAACTAGGCTGTCCTGAGCCTAGTTTTAGAATTGTTTACCTTTATACCAAGAAGGTTGGGAAAGCACCAAAATCCGCATGTAGCGTGGGCCTAGGCAGACTTCAAGGGGTTCCTGCTATGAGACCTAAAGTTTGTGTGTGGTTGTCGAAAATGAAAAAATATGTTAGTGGGTCCTATGATGGTCCCATGTGTGCTACACGTGTCCATGACAGGATCAAGCATACTTTCCTTATCAAAGAGCAGAAAATCATTGTGAAAGTGTTAAAGGCACAAACACAGAGACAGGAAGCTAAACTTTAATTTTTTTTTTTTTTTTTGAGTTGGAGTCTCACTCTGTCACCCAGACTGGAGTGCAGTGGCCGTTCCCGGCCACCACACCGCAGCCTCGACCTGCTGGGCTCCAGCGATCCTTCCACCTCAGCCTTCCAAGTATCTGGAACTACAGGCGCGCGCTACCACGCCCAGCTCATTTTTTGATTTATTCTAGAGATGAGGTCTCATCAAGTTGCCCAGGAGGGTCTCGAACCCGCGGACTCAGGCAATCCACTCACCTCAGCCTCCCAAAGGCACGGGATTACAGGCTGAGCCACCGAGCCCGGCTGGAAGCTAAACTTTAAAATGAAACTTTTTTTGAGTAATTAAAAAAAAAAAGCAAAGACCATGTAAAAACTTTGGGAGCTCCTGACAAAAAATACCATATTTAAGGCTCTAGAATCTGTGTAACCAACTATAAATTATAATCATCTTTCATATCTCATGTAAGTATCACTTTGGTCAATGACAGGGGTCAGCAAACTACCACTTGAGGGCCAATTTGTCACCTGTTTTTAGAAATAAAGTTTTATTGGAACACAGCCATACCTGTTTATTTGCATATTTTCCATGGTTGTTTTTTCACTACAGTGGCAGAGTTGAATATTTAGAGAGAGAGAGAGTTGAGTGGTTACTACAGAAGCCATGTGACCAACAAAGTCAAGAATATTTACTATTTGACCCTTTCCATAAAAAGTCTACCAAATTCTGGCCTATAAAAACTTAAATAACCTGAGCCCTTTTTATCAAAGACAGAGAATTCTTTCTGTCAGTTGATGGTAGGCATTATACCAGTCTTTGGTAAACAGAAACAGTTGCCCGAGACAGAAGGTTACAGAAGAAAACTTTGATCCCTTCTTTAGTTGCGATGGTAGCCATTATACCAGTCTTTGGTAAACAGAAACAGCTGCCTGAGACAGAAGGTTACAGAAGAAAACTTTGATCCCTTCTTTAGTTGTCAACAGAATAAAAAACACCAAGACTTAAAGCAAATCTAAGCCAAGGAGATTAAACTATCATATCATTTGTATATTATTTTAGTCAGTATATTAAAAATCCTATACACCTGTTGACTGAGCTATTTCATAACAGGAGACACCATGCTTTATATGGGGTCCATTTAAATAAGGTATAAGTTGTTAAACTTGGTTAAAATCCTTCATTGACAAAATGAAAAGCAAAGGAAGAAGAATATTAAACAGTGTATGAACTTGGACAGAATAAAGGGGATAATACAAAAAGCAAAGGTCTTCAAGAGGATACATTTAACAGAAACTCTAAAACATCTCTTAAGTTTTAATACTGTCCTCACAAAGGTAAGATTTCTTAAACTCTCTTTACATAAAAGGAACGGATGGCCAGAAATCATAGCCTCAGAAATGGATGCTGTAAGTTCTTCAATAGTGGGGAAGCTACGCAGAAGAGGCAATCCTAAGAGAAAGACAAGTAAAGGTGTGCTCATTTTATATGAAAAAAGGCTACACTAAGTGTTCCAATATTCACTTGTAGAAATAAAATTCTATTATGTGTGAAAAGGGATAATTTTGTGCTAATACAACTGAAACCAAAATCCAAGGTGGTAGAACATAGCATATTCAGTCTTCTCTAACATTCAGAAGCATGGCAGGAAATAGCAGACATTTTAGTACAGAGAAAGAAATGGAAGGCCCACCAGCTTTTTTGATTGTGAATTATTCAAAAAACAAAATTTTAAAAACCCTAATTTTTGTTATGTTTTGCTTTCTTTCCTTCTTTTTTTAAAGAGATAGGGTCTCACTCTGTTGACCAGGCTGGAGCGTAGTGATGTGATCACAGCTCACTGTAACCTCAAATTCCTAGGCTCAAGCCATCCTCCCACCTTAGCCTTCTGAGTAGCTAGGACAACCGGCATGTGCCACTATGCCCAGCTAATTTTTTCATTTTCTATAGGGACAGGGTCTCACTATTTTTCCCAGGCTGGTCTCAAACTCCTGGCCTCAAGTGACCCTCCCACCTCAGCCTCCTAAGTGCTGGGATTGTAGGTGTGAGTCACTGCACTCAGCCCATCTCTATTTTTATAATAATATCGAGGAATCTTTGTATAGGCTACTTACTCTCACAAGCACACATGTGTCCACAGGGTTGAAAAAGAACAGCTGCTTTCTTGTCAGAGCATACCACACATTCTTCAATCTATAGAAAAAGAGGTTACAGGAAAGAGTGACCATCTACAGATAAATCTAGTAACTCTAATCGGTCCATGTACATCCACAAACTGTACCTCCTCTATAAGGAAATATTCTAAGCACAGAGAAATTTAACACACAATTTTCTCCTATCCTCTACTCTCCTAGTTACACATGTTCAAATCTTTATATACTTTAGCTTTTCAGGCACTTACTTCTATATTAGTCTCCCTATGAATCCTAAAGAACAGTATAGAAAAACTCCATTTCCTCTGAGATCCAGGCCAGACTTCAATCCCCCCCCCAAAAAACCACATTTGAAAGGAACCAAAAAGACAATGAAAGAAAAAATGAAATAAGTAAAAAAAAGAAATGATTGAGAGAAGGTAGTTGTTTTGTTATTGTTGTTTTAGAGACAAGGTTTTGCTGTCACCTAGGCTGAAATACGGTGGTGCAATCACAGCTCACTGCAGTCTTAAACTCCTGGGCTCAAGCAATCCTCCCATCTCAGCCTTCTGAGTAGCTAGGACTATAGGCATTTGGCTAATTTTTTAATTTTTTTTTTTTTGTAGAGATGGAGTCACTAGTTGCCCAGGCTAGTCTCAAACTCCTGGTCTAAGATTTCTAATATTCATAAAAACCTAGCAGAGTAGTCAGTCTGCTAAAGTTCAAGAGGGATTTTTCTTTTTACCCACATTTAAGGGACTCTACCTAAAAGCACTTTTTTCAAGACTTGGCTATGCAGTGTCCAATGCATAATAATTATCTTCTCCTTTCTATATAATGATATACTGGTTTTAAAAATTATTACCAGTGCATCTGTCGGTGTCTGAATTGCTAAAGAGTTTAAAATTATATAGCAAATTGATCTAACATCACTTACTTACTCCCTGTCTTATTATTAAAAGAAAATATCTTCATAACCATAACTCTGTCTCCTTTCTGGATTATTTCCTAAAGTTGTACTCCCAGGAGTAGGATTACTAAATCAAGCATTTGTGGTAACAATTTGTGTAGATAGTTGGGATGGCCTCCCAGTCTCCAGCAGTATTTGGACTTTCACTGCTAGTATTAAAAAAAAAAAAAGTGTATTATGTATATATATCCTTGCTATTTTGACAGTAATAGTTCATGCTAATTCATAATTTTGAAAATTTGTGTTTCTCTAATTGCTAGAGAGACCACGCTTGTTTATTCTCCCTCCAAATATTATATTTTTCTTCAATGAAGATGTTTATTATCCTTTAACCACTTGGGGTCACTATTTCTTTACAGCCAAAGGCTCTGCAACCAACCTGGCAAATCTGTTGGGTGGGTTTTTGTATTTTTCTATGAGTTCGGACATTTAATAATTTAAAAAACAGATTGCCAGTCTATTAATTCTTGAAGTAACTGCATTTTTTCCATTATACCTCCCTGTTTCATCAACTGTTCCTTGTAGATATTGTTCTTGATTTTGTCTGTGTAACATAACAAGGTGAAAGGAACAGGGGCTTAAAAATCAAGACACCAGCCGGGCTCGGTGGCTCAGCCTGTAATCCCGCGCCTTTGGGAGGCTGAGGTGAGCGGACTGCCTGAGCCCGCAGGTTCAAGACCCACCTGGGCAGCGAGTCATCTCTACAATAAAACCAAAAATTAGCCGGGTGTAGTAGCGCATGCCTGTAATTCCAGCTACTTGGAAGGCTGAGGCAGAAGGATCGCCGGAGCCCAGCAGGTCGAGGCTGCAGTGGCCGGGAGTGGCCACTGCACTCCAGTCTGGGTTACAGAGTGAGACTCCAACTCAAAAAAAAAAAAAAACAAAAATCAAGAGACCTGCATTCAAGAACCACCTGTCAGTGCACTTCTTTTAAGCTTCTGCTTTTATAAGAGTTACTTCATATTTGAGACTCTGCTTTTGGCAACCTGAGATTCTGACTACTCACTTTATGTCTCTTTTTAAAGCAGAAGGGCTTTAATAGAAGACATACTTTGCTAATAGATTACAAATTTTTAGGAAATAATTATTATACACATCTTTATCTTGACTACAAAAGGTGTTCTATAAAGGTCTGTTTGAAAAAGGGCTTAATCTAGCAAAAAATGTTCAAGCGCAACAGAATATACAGACCAATCTAAAAACAAAAGAATGATTTAAATGTTTGTTCTTCTTTCATATTTTTTCCCAAAACTTTGTAAGCAGGTACCTAAAGCAAATTATAAATACCAAGCAGAATGAGCCTCATATTAAGCAGAGTTGACACTGATTAATACATATGAAATTGCCAACACTGTGCCTAGCGCACAGTAAGTATTGTTAGTTCATCCTTCTCACATTTATAAATTGATTCAGCAGTTCCATACATACTAGCACTCCAGTGTCTCCTATAAAAATAACAATATCAAAAATAACTTCCTTGTGCTTTTTTCTGTTCCAAAAACTTTACCATAGGTACATTAATTTGGATCATAAAAACCATCCAGTCTTAGAATGCTGAAAATATAAGAAGTACTAGTAAGATAATACCATTTAAGTCACTGTCAGCAAATTCATTATGAGAATTAGTACCAACTCCCTGCTAATTAATGGTAGTTAGTGAATAGCTGAGGAAATGCCAAGAGAAAAACGAAGAGAATAAAAAGGGAATGGAAAAAGAGTAATTGGCATTTCCTAAGCTAGTCATTAACTACCATTGATTATAAATTAATGACTTTATAAATACATACTTATAAATATATAAGTATAAACTTTTATAACTTTATATTTAAAACCAACGTATCTCTTCTTTAGATTAACTCACCTTGAGACAAATATTTGTAAGACTCAAATCTCACTTTACACACAAATACATTTGAGCATGGGGAAAAAAATCAATTATTTCAAGTAAACTAAAATATGTGAAATGGTACAGTTATAATAAAACACTAAGTTACACGTGAAAAGAATAAAATCAGAAAACTTCTCAAAAAGCAAAATGACTCAGGAGAGTTAGAAAGTTCAGAGTGGATGTAGAATTTAGCCATTACTAACTACAAGAAGACAAGACTTTATTTGCCTCCAGATGGGACATAATATGAAACGTGTGGCATCAGCTGTGAGGTTTTCTTAACAAAAACGTTAGGATGACCTTAATCACACCGTTACAACTAACTTCCAGTGCACAGGAAACACAGAGGATAGAGAAATCAAGTTAAACAACATCATGATAAAACAATCAAACAAATCTAGAAAATGTTTCATCCCACCAGAAAAATGAACTAGTCTTTTACAAAAATGAATATAAATAGTCCATGCACTCAACAAAAAAAAAAAAAAAAAGAGGAAGTGGGGGGCAATATACAAGTAACTGCAATCCAAAGTAGAATTAAATATATCTTTAGGTTATAAGAGGCTTTGACAGCAAGATAGTAAACTTTTACTTGTAACATTTAATACTATACTTTGGCTATAAAGAATGACTATTTGAGGGCACAAATGATACATGGTTAAATTCAGATAATAATGAACTTGGCAAATAAGTACATTAATAAGACAGGAGTGTAAACAAACAATAAATTCAGAAATTTTGATTTAATCTCTTAATAAATGCATAAATTATATATTCTTATATTTAAATAATTGTTTGGAAGAACAAAATTAAACAGATTCAAACTGTATTAGAAGTATATTACCTTTGTCCTGGACTGAACTTGTTCTTTACAGATGAGGCATTTCTTGACTCGTGGAGAACACAAAGAGCAGGTAGCAATATGTCCACATGGGCCAAAAAGAGTGTCTCTCTTCATATCTGAGCACACCATACATTCTTCTAAGGTTTCAGAATCGTTACTAATCATAGAAGGACTCCGAGAACCCACCTGACCACTAACAAAAGAAAATGTTTCAAACCAAGTCTATCAAAATATTTCTATTAAAAATTCATTAATTAAAATGCTTTCAAATACATCTACAGCATCATTAGTACACATAAAACAACTTTAGTTAAGGTAAAAGAAGAAGCTTATACCATTTACTTTCTGCTATGAGAAAAAAATTAAACTTTAATATCTGTATAGGACACATTGCATATCATATTTTTATATTTGTGTATTTATCTGCATCTTTACATACTTCTAGTATGGTTCACACTTCAAACTGAATAAACCCTCACCCAGTGAATAGAAAAGGGTGAATCTTCTAACAAAGAAAGAAAAAACAGCAGTAAAAAAAAAATTTAACAGAAACAAAATCTAGCTCAGTACCTGTTCTATCTATATAGCGTCAACAGAGGAAGACATAGGAATAAAAAATCCTTACTAGCACCCATGTTATCCTAACTAAAGTCAGAACAAAGGATCATCACAGTCCACCACAGACCGGGCACTCTGGAAAATATGACACTTCAGCAGCTGTTTTGACATTTCTTTAAGTGTATCCTTAAAGAGCACACATTTCTACTACAAAAAGATAGACTGCATCTATAAATATACAGATACAAGGCATAGAAATACATATATATGACCATCTACAGCTACAGAAAAGGAATACTGTGCTTCTACCACAATCTTCAGAAACTCACAAATATACACATACACATATAAGGTTTCATGTTAGACCCCATTGTTTAAGACGTTATTACCACAACAATTATAGTGTCCTGCATATCTATATTTATAGATGCATTCTGTCTTTCTGTGATAGAATTCTGTGCTCCTTAAGGATACACTTAAATAACTGTATATACCTTATTACATTAATTTTACCTATAGCACAATTCTAAGCACAGATTCTAAAGAGATGCCATTTCATCACTACACAAAAATTACAAGAGAAGCCAAGCATGGTCACTCACGCCTGTAATCCCGGATTTTGGGAGGCTGACGTGAGAGAACTGCCTGAGCCCAGAAGTTTGAGACCATGCTGGGCGACATGGTGAGACCTCATCTCTACCATAAATCAAAAAATCAGTTGGCCATGGTGGTGCACACCTATAGTCCCAGCAACTTTGAAGGCTGAAGAGGAAGGATCACCTGAGCCCAGCAGGTTGAGACTGTGGTAGCTGTGATTGTGCCACTACACTCCAGCCTGGGTGACAGAGTGAGACTCCGACACACACACACACACAAATTGTAAGAGAGCCAAGAAAACACAAAGGTCAAGGGACAGCTACCAAAATGTTTAGTGACAAGAACCAGTTATAAAGGGTAATAAAAGACGCGCAACACTGTTCAGATAAAAAAGTAATGAGACATGTACCTTTTTGTATGTCTACAAGATCTTACAGTAAGAAAATTTCTTATGTTAATATGCTAATTTAAATCACTGATGTATTTTACTTTCAGAAAAAGAGACAAATGTGAAATGACTATCTTTAAAGAAAACTCTACCAAGAATTGGTTCATTTATTTGTTCTTTCTGTCAATCTTCCACTAATACTTACTGAGTGCCTGTCAGGTACTATGCAGGGTGCTAGATAATTACAGAGTTTGTGTAAGTTGTCTCTCTTGGAGTGTAAGTTGCCTCTCTTAAGAGAGTCTATTAAATTTTTAACACAGAGCTGGACACAGTGGTGCAAGCCTGAAGTCCCATCTACTCCAGAGGCTGGATCGCTTGAGCCCAGGAGTTCAAGTCCAGCCTGGGCAACTCTGTCTAAAATTTAAAATAGCAAGAACTCTGTCTAAAAAATAAAATAAAATAAAATAAAAATTTAAATACATTCAACATTAATCACAGCAATTTTACTAGAAGACTTTTCCTTATAAATTCTCTAACACAGGGGTATTAGATCAGAACAATTTAGAAACACTTCTTAGAACTTATTAAGCATAAAGCACTACACTTAATAATATGAGAATACAGCATAAAATAGGAGAGCAGTGCCTGCAGGAAAACTTTCAAGGAAGAAAGAAAAGAGCAATGACAAAGATATTTTCAAGTAATCAATCCTCCATTACGGAATGACACAATACTTTCTGTGTAGAATATTAAGTTTTATGATAATAAATAATACAAACCTGACTTTTTCTTTATGGCACTTAGCCAGTGCTTTGCAGAGACTTGGATCAGGACAGAGATCAAGTGGTGATTGACCCTTCTTATTTCGAATGCTAAGGTCAGCGCCATTGGCTGCCAAGAAGCAGGCAATAGAGGCTGCACTCTTCTTTTCTGCCCCCTGGGTTCCAAGTCCCATTATTAACTGAAAACAAATAAAAAGAGTCATGATTTTCCCTTTAGGACTCTGCTATCATTTCTTACCACTGTGTGTGGCGGGGTAGGCATTTATATTCCCTCTCCCTCCTGCCCATCCCCAGTTTTCTCAGGTATATGGTTTGAGAACTAATCCATTCTCCAGGTGTGGAAGTAGACTGAAGGTGGCCCCAAACCAGTTAGATATCTACCTTATCATTTCTGTGACTAGTTCAGGGATGAACACATAACCCAAGTCAAGTCAACTAAGGTCAGCAAAATCCAAGCGTAGGCCTTCCTATTAAGATATTGAAGGGGCTGGGCATGGTGGCTCAAGCCTGTAATCCCAGCACTTTGGGAGGCCAAGGTAAGGGAATTGCCTGAGCCCGTGGGGTTAGAGAACAGCCTGGGCAACTTGACGAGACCTCATCTCTACAATAAATTTTTAAAAAAATTTTGCTGGGCGTGGTAGTGCGCACCTGTAGTTCCAGCTACTTGGGGAGGCTAGAGCAAAAGGATCACCTGAGCCCAGCAGGTCGACGCTGGGGTGACCATGAGCATGCCACTGCGCTCCAGCCAGGGTGACGGACTCAAAAAAAAAAAAAAAAAAAAGAGAAAGAGAGAGATTGAAGAAATAGTACTCTCTAGTCAATTTGGCTCTGGAACTGCTAGTAGCCAAATTTTAAAAAAAATGGCAGGTGAGACAACTGAGAAAAGAACCAACACCTAGGAACTAAGCCAAGAAATCAAGAATGAGACAAATCAAGGATGAGACAAATATCATCTGAGCTACTCACTCAAACATCTTATCTGAAGATAGTCTCAATGATTATGAACATTTATTATCTAAAAAGAACCAGGTATTATTTTACATTCCATGATCTTTATAGCAACTTTATGGAGGTAAGGTGTTCCCTTCCCACCATTTTTAAACAAGAAAGAGAATTTACCCATGGTCATACAGTAAGGCAGCAGTTCTCAAACATGTTCATACAGTAAGGCAGTAGTGGTCTCAGAACTACTTTACACACTTAAAAATGATTCTAAAATTTATATAGGGGCCAGGTGTGGTGACTCACGCCTATAATCCCAGTACTTTGGGAGGCCAAGGTGAGAGGACTGCCTGAGCTCAAGGGTTTGAGAACAGCCCGGGCAACTTGGCGAGACCTCACCTCTACAATAAATCAAAAAATTAGCCAGGCATGGTGGCGTGTGTCTGTAGTTCCAG